GCCTGGGCTGCAGGAAGGGCCCCTGACCCTTGCTGGAGACATCGGTGTGTAGTTTAAGGCATGACATCACCAGCGCAGCGCAGGCTTGAGCGATGACACAGCGGGGACCGGGGACCTTGGATGCCCAGGGTGGAGAGGGAGCAGGAAGAAAAGAAGAAAAGAAAGAGAAGAAGGTTTGTTTTCTGTTTTCTTTGCTGCAAGTCTCAGCAATACACCCTTGCTGTTTTAGAGCGGCGTCTCTGCTCTCGGGACACTGTAAAATGCGCAGATTAAAAGGGAAACAATAACACTGCCTTACTCCCAGTCAAATCCTGCTTTATCGTAGGTAGTGGGAGGCTTGAACTCATTCCTCATCTTAATTCGCATGCCCTGGTGCGGTACCAGCTCCTCTCCCCTCCGGCACCAGGAGGGAGTCTCCCCGGGGCTCTCCGCCCCTGGGCACCGCGCCTGGGCTGTTGTGCCACGGTACATTAGAGCAGATCTAACCCTGTAAACTCCACTAATCCCTCCAGGGCAGGAAAACGCTGTTTAACGGGAGGGATGCAGCGGAGCGCAGAGGCTGTGGAGCACAGAGACCACGGTGTCAGGGGCAACAGCGGGAGTCAGGGGGGATATGGCAGTGCTCACCAGAGATACCCCAGACTCGGGGCTGAGCTGAAGGACATAGATTTTAACCCGAGGCCTCCAGGGCTGCAGCCACAGCTCAGTCCCTGCTCAGTGTCCACACCTCATCCCAACCACCACATTTGAAAGGTCTCAAGCTGCTGTTTCCATACGGAGGGTTTCTTTCTTTTTCACTGATTTATTGAAAAGAGTAGGGTCTTCTGGCATCCCCCAGGATTTCTAGGAAAGGTATTTAAAAGAAAAACCCTTGGATCTGTAGGTTTCCATCAAAATAACGGCACCTATGATGACAGGCAAAGTATAAACGCTTAGGCAGACAAAGATAAGCATTGGTGCTGTGGCTGCCTATTTAAATCAGATCCCCACAAATGCCGGTCTGGACAGGAAAGACCCAAAGCCTTTCTTGCTCGTTACGTGAGCCTAAGCAGAAGACCTTTATTTGAAGCTTATTTCTGCTTTCATATGTCACAGCAGCGGTATTCTCCAGCAGTGGAGGGCAGCTTTTCTCTAATTTTAGATCTTTCTCTCAAAAGATGGCAGCTGACAACAGAGACAGGCCTCTGAAAAGGATGGATTTGAAGGCTTGCCTTTTACTAAAGATGTACAAGCTGTGCAGCGCGGCAGTTCTTGTGAGATCAAACCGAGTGGATTTCAGATTCAAATCCCACCCTACTTTGAGGTCAGACTCCAGGCAATGTGTCCCAAGCTGCTCGCCAACAGAAAGGCAGGCGTCGCTTTTTTTAACACAAAAATACAAATCGTGAGAGTCAAGGAAGGGGAGCAGGAGCAGGGATAAATGATTTACACACAGCAAACCCGTTGAGGAAGTCAAACAGATGCTTTACTGTCTCCCCATGCTCCAGGCTGGATATGTCCGTTTCTAAACAGAGCTTGTTGCATCTCGGTGGATCCTTTCAGGCAACAAATTGTCCTGCAAGATTCAAGGCAAAGCTTCTCTGTTTCCCCCATGAACAGAATATTGCACCTGCGAAAAGGCAGAGCCAACCCACCACATCGGCAGTGGTAGGAAAAGCCCCACTAGGTCATCTGCAATCCCAATATTTGTGTCCTCTCTATGGTCTGATGGGCTTTCAACAGCAAGCTTAGGAGACATTTCAACAAGTTGCTTTACAGTATCTGTTTAAATTATTAAGACACTTCAGTGAAAAGCTTTATGTATAAACAGAGCATTTTGACTTTGTAGCCTTGTGGCTTGTAATATTTTGCTATTGAAAGCAAAATTTCCACAAATACTGAGTCAAAGTGGGCAAGGAGAAGCTACCAGCTGAGTTACTCATGGGGGTGACTTAATTTTTTTCCATGGAGCTACTCTCTTATTACAGAAATGTCACCTTTTCTGTCCTCCCTTGGGGCAAGTGATGTGTTCTGCCCAGAGCCCTTTTTTTGTCATCAGAAGGAATGTAAAGCATCCATCTAATCCATCCATGTGTCTGCCTAATCTCATTCTAGCTGTTGCTATGATGGCCAGATAACAGATATGAAAATTAGGGGTTGTCTAGCGAGGCACAGCTCTCCTTCTGAATGACTTCCTATAGGGAGTGATGAATCTCTATGGCTCAGAGGACTGCCCTGACAGACAGGTAGCAGCCTGGAGACCCAGCTTCCAACTCCCATATATGTTTTGCATTCACTTCAATGTAATTTTTAAAAGGAATTTTGTATTGGATTTCGTTCAGGTGCACATTCATCATTTATCAATGTGTTGTGAAGTTAAAACTTTAAAGGGATGGTGTAAGGCTAAAAACAATCTTGGCCTGTTTCCCTTTTGCTAATCAGGTGCTGACAGCCACACAAGTTGAGTGGGAAATGCCTGTCTCTGGCTTGCACTTGTTTTGCACAGGAGATGGAGACAGGGCAGAGCCCAGCATCTCACAGAGGGGTTCAGAACCATGGACCTTGAGCATATTCTTTCTGGAGGGTTCACCAATTACTTCCCTAACTTAACAGACTGAAATTTAAATATCTAATTTAGTTTTCAGCTGTATGTTATTAGCCTGTTTCCCCCCTTTCAGTTTGAATTGTAAAAGAGAGAAAAAAAGAAGACGGGAAAACCTAGGCTTCCCTCTGTAGCCAGGTCCCTGGTTTGTTTTCCTTTTCAGTCTGATGCACAAGGCTCCACTACAGATTTGCAAATGCTGCTGGAGAGTGTTCATTTACATCAGAACATGCTGTTTGCAACTGATTTTTAAAGCTCCACTCTCCTTCTCTATTAATTTTATGCTGTGAAATAAAATTGTGCAAAAAAAAAAAATACATGCAATGATTTTGACAGCAAACTAAATAAGGGGCTCTGTAGGAGATGCCATCACAGATTTAGCCTATTTTGTTTAGCTGAGAAGGAGCAGGGGAACACTTGCTTTAAGAAAAATCTCTCTCCAAAGAACAGCAGCTAGGGAGGTGGAGACTGGTAGGCAGTTGCTGACTGAGGAGCGCCTAAGCCTGGGAGCACTTACCTACAGGCAGTTGTTTTCCCTTTGGAGAGCTGGGAGCTGTGTGTGTTACTCTGCCAGCCAAAGAGGAAGAGCCTCTCTTATCCTCCAAAGGGACACTTTTCCAGCAGTTTGCTGTCCCCTGCCAGCAAAGAGCAAATATCTGTCTTCATCTTTTTCCTCTCCTTTGACTGTGAGTGCCTTAGTGCCAGCCTGTCTTTAAAATAACTTGGGGAGCATGCCTACAGACACATCTTGGCAAAGGAGGGAAAGGGAGGAGTGCAGTGCAACCAGTCAGGCAGAGGCTCTTGTTTTCTACTCGGAGCAAAATGAAGCAAAGGTCTTCATGTAGAAGAAGTAGCAACTGTAAAAAAAAAAAAGGCACAATCATCATAGAAATTTTACACTTGTCTGTACACTTGGATCTCCTGTGATGAGACCATACATGGAGGAGACACTGCTAATATTTTTCAGATAAACATGACATTCCTCTGTTTCTGCTGAAAAAAAAACACCTCAAGGCCGTAGTGGAAAAGGTAGTTTTTCCAAGAGCTGGAGCACAACCCTTTCCAGCACGGATGAGGGGACACTTGGGTGACCTGTACACCCTCTCCCCATCTGACTTCACCTATTGGGAGGTGCCCACTCTGTGATCCCCAGGGAGCCCACATCCTGCTCAGCACCCCTGGGACGGCTCCACAGCGAGGGAATGCTGCCTGCTTCTAAAGCTGCTGCTTGTGATCTTTGCATCCATCAGTCGCCAGTGCCACCGGCTGGGGACTGGCACTGCTCTCCAGTCTCCTTAGCACCAAGCACATTACCGGCACTCACAAATCATTCTCACGATAATTAGCAGCAATTAGTGACTTAATGGAGAGTCTTTGGGGATTCCTAAGCGTGCCTCGTGAGCGTGGGTTTTTTAGGACGCTGGAAGTTGAGAAAGCCCTGGGGAATGCTGATGGCACCTGGCAGTCCCTTATCTCTGTGCCTGCCCGGATGGGTTTGTTTGCGTGCGCCCTTCCCAGACATCGCCCCGCCGGGGGGAATTCCACCCGGCTGCGTGTGTTGGCTTTCCTGGCCAACCCCAGAGCAGCCCCAGCGAACCTCTTGGCTGCTGCCCCCGCCTCGCCCCCCTCCCACCCGTGAAACCCCTGTACGAGCCCGTGCGTGGCACAGGGGTAAACTCCAAAAGGAGGGGAACGAGCTCAGCTGCTTGCCTTGCCCAACAAGGGGAAAACGCGGTGGGAACTACTTTAAAATCGATTAATTTCCTTTGCCCCAGTAGGTCCTCGGCTCTGCCAAGGCTCAGGCTCCCGGGTGGCGCTGGGCAGTCACACAGGGTTTGCTTGTTGAGGGCACAAGGCATGAACTCCTCTGCCAAAAAAAACCTTGCCTAATTAAATTTCTCATTCTGAAAACAAAAGGGGTTCTCAGAGGAGAGAATGCGGGGTCTCCCTGAGGTTGTTACTGTTGGGCAGATTTTTGCAAGTCATTAACAACCTCGGGAAATTGTTGATCAAATGGCTGAAAATGAAGCTTTCCAGTTTTCCAGTAAACCGAGCGTAGTAAGCCGCTGTGGCATAAGCATCTTCATAATGATGTTTCTGAGTTAATAGGAGGGACCTGGGGTGTTTTAATTGCCTTAGTTTCTAAATAAATGTAAAGAGATTTGTACACGTCCTGGATGCAAACGACCTCTTGAAGAAAGGCTGCCTGGCTTTCCTTGTGGATTTTGCCTCTGAAAGAAGGGGGGGAAATCCCATTAACGCTGGGCTGTGAGCACGGTACAAGCATGTGCCCAAGACTATAATTAATGCGGACACTTACCACTTCTCATCTTGAGATATAACCAACACCTTTATATCTGTGAACCCCTCTCAGCTGCTAACGCAGGTTAAGCACTCTTTTGTCTGGCTGATTTTTTTCAAGATTTTTGTGCTGTTTCACTGGCAAATGACAAGTGAAGTGGAGACACATCAATAGAAATAGCACAATTACAATAGATGGATAGATAGATAGATAGATAGATAGATGATAGATAGATAGATAGATAGACAGATAGATAGATAGTCAGTCCTCAGGTAATAACTATTTTTAGAAATTACACATTTTTGCTTTGCATGTGGGATCTCGTCTTATCTTTCTGTAATTATGGGCATTCTGCTCTATAATAGGGTCTACTGCCGTATGACAAGTTATCTTGTAACATGTTGGCAGCAGTTTCAGTTGCACAAATCAATGCAGGCATTGGAAATTTAAAACAGAATTTTTACCTTTATTGCCTAGTTTAGTTTTTACCTGTTCTGTGCAGGCATATAGGGAACATTAGTCTCAACTATGTCATTTCAGTCCAAATTCCAGATCACTATTTGCTTGAGGTAATTTTAATTGAGCTGGCTGAAGGTGAAACTCACCCCAATGAATAATAATACCTGCTCTTTAAGAAGAATGACAGAGATGAAAATAGAATTAATTCAGAGATTCAGTCCTATGGTCTAGCTACTGGGCACACATCCTCAAAATTAGATAGGACAGAATGGGAGCTCCTTTGAAATTACCAGGCAAATGATTCAAAATGTACGCAAAAGAATGCTTTTCCATACCATACGTAATTGAACCGGGGAACTCATTGGCACCAGATAATGTGGAGGCCTCCAGTACAAACAGGTTTCGACAGGACTCAGCCAGAGTTGGGGAGATGGACTAACTGGTGCTGCAGGGCACAGAGGTTTGGCTGCAAGCTCCAGCTCAGGCAGTCCTTCAAGCCTCACGTCTGCCAGAAGATGAGAATGTGGCAATGAGATGGATTATCTTCTCACCAGGTTTCTCTTACTCCCCGTTCACCCTTGGCTGCTTTTGGGAATGCATTACCAGGATGACCCAAAAACTTTGGTCTGACCCTGTGCACCGCTCTCGGTTTCTGTGTTGCAATGTGGTGCAGGTCAAGCCATGTGATCCCCAGGCACAGCAGATCACATGCATAAACAATCAATCCAGAGCTGATGTTTGCACCCTTGCTCCAGAGGCAAGACTGTTCTACACATCTCTCCTTTTCTAATTACTGAGGTTTGTGGAGAGAAAACCATATTTTCCTGGAAGGAGAATAGACAAACCAGCTCATTCAACCCAGAGTTGTCTTTGCAGTGCCCCAGTGACCCTCTAGAGGAATTCAAGGCAGACTGCATTTTTCTGTGTGTGCTTGTTATCTTATCTTTGATGTCCTTTGGGAAGCTGTGATCTGCTTTCAACTGACCTGAACACAGTCTGACTACAAATCTTTGTTTGAGGAAGCGCTTGTGTGACCCATATACCAGGTAGATGTAAAGAACCAGCCCAGTTCTGCTTGTATTCAACACATGGCTCCATAGTACATAATGTTTTCATTAGCATCACTACCAAAGATGCCAGGTCAGAGTTCAGCCCTCCATCTTCAGTGGGTCCGACACAGTCAGTGCTCTCAGACCTCTCCTTTCCCTAATGCACCCACCCTGGGGCTCAGGAAACAGCTATTTTCCAGCTCTTCCAGAGAAAGCTAGGGGTGTGGGTTTCCCCCCCATTCCTCCTTTCAGCATACTATTTTCCCACATGCAATCATTCCCCTGTTCATTCTTCAGCAGGGAGCATACTGCCAGGGACTGGAAATGACCCTGTGGTTCACCAAGGTGCAAGACTGGCAGAGGAACACTTGCAGAGGTGGAGATGACAAGACTACTAACAAAATACTATTATCCTGATACAGGAGGCTGGCTGACTGGGTCCCACATGGTGGCTGCCTGCACAGCAATATCTCGTTCAAACATTTTCCCATTCATGCAATTCTGTAAACGCTTGTAGGTATCAGCTTTCCATAAATACTGTGGACAGACTCTAAGTGACTAAGGCATTTATTTTCTCTATAGGTGCCTACATCCCAAGGGTGTCACTGGGGGTGTGCTGACTTTGCCTGTTTGCTGTGGCACCCAGGAGGCTGATTTCAATTTCTGCTCAGACCCCTTTCCACACTCTGGCTGTGTAAAGGAGACATGAATTGCAGGCTAAATGCAGTGGTTCTCCACGAACTACCCGCAGTGGGTAAAATCCACCCTGCTAGGCCTTGCTTCAGAAGTTGTGATGCAATTTAGACAGGATGGTGGGAACAGCAGACCTGTTGTACTGCTCTGCCATGAGAAGTTTTTTATGCTAACCTGAGAGTCAAAATGGAAAACAACAGTCTAGGAGACAGATCAGAAGGTCTCACAGGTCTGAGGTGGGTAAAGAGAAGGAACCCACAGGAATGTAAAATGAGTAAGCTTTCATCTTCTTCATTATCTGTCTTGGTAGCAAGCCTTTTTGGAAAAGATTTTTTTTTTTTGAGATTTTCATGGCAGATCTTGGCACTGACTGACACAACGGTAATTCCCATCCACTTGGTTCCTTCTGTGCCTGTGGAAGGCAAGAAAGAACCTCCTAGAGCATGAAAGGGGTTTGGATCAGGCCCTATAGTGCCTGCAGATTGTCTCTGCCATAACTTATCCCTGCTGTTTACCTGAGCTAGTGCAAATTCTCACCTCGCTAAGGGGAAGCACTTTTAACTTACTACAAGGTGATCTTGTTTGCCTCAGTTTTTCAAATATAACAGTATCCCTTGTGACATAACTTTACCCATTCATCTGACTTTCTTTAGTTGAGAAATACTTAGCAACACCTGTTGTGGAAGCACAAATGACTGATGCCAGAAGAAACAGTTCCTATAATGGACAGGAGTTCATCTACAGATACTTTACTTACAGAGGCACAATTATATGATTAGGGTTAATCTAATTGTATGTCTTAAGTATGATGGATTTAGGTCTACTATTCTCTTGGAGGAACTGTGATATTTGGAGAATCCACAAAACAGGAGGTATGGCTGTAGATGAGCCTGTTACATGGCAGACTGGTGTCCTCAAAGACTCTTTTTTTTTGTAGCAAGGACTTCTTTCTAAGATGAGCTTTATTTGTCCTAATTTGCAGCCACTTTAAGTTTCATCTGTAAATGCAAAACTCACAATGGTGCTCTGAAGACAAAATTCAGGAAGGGTCTGTTCCAAAAGCCACCAAAATGCAATGGAGCGACTCACCAAGATTTGGGTAATGCCCAGACAGCCGGACAGTGGACAACTCAGTTTGCTCTGGGATAGTGAAGAAGCTGGATACCAATGGCACAGGTTCACATGGGACTCCATTGCCAACATGGTATCTATGAAAAGTGTCTGTGCCCTAAGCATCCCACAAAAAGACTGAGGAGGGTCAGAGAGGCATGACCTGAACTCTCATGACCTGCCCTCAGGCAGCAGCTATATTTCCCTGACCAGTGGTCATGAAGTTGAGATAAAGTGCTGGACAAGTGATCTCAGAGGTGCCACAGCAGGTTTTGCAGTTGGAGAGAAATCCTGAAGCTCCCTTGGCTTCAGCACAATTACTGCAGCAGTTAGGGTGTACTTGGAGGGACCTACAGCTGAATGCTAAATTAATTTATTTCTCTGATTGGACTCTGCTTACCTATTTATCTATTTACAATACTGTATGTCTCTCCAGCCTCCCATGGGCACTCCCTTGTTTTCTTTTCCCACTGCCAACAAATAGTAGAATGTTTAGCAACAGCTGGCTGGGAGCACCCACTGCCCAGGACAGCTGGAAAGCAGAGGATAAAGAGACTCTCCTAGTAAAAGGCAAAGCAGTGGATCACATTCCCTTGGACAGAGTGGAAGTTTAGCCCTGGTCTCCCACATCCCAGTCACCTCCTGCTCTGCTCGTCGGCACATAAAAAAGAAAGATTATAAAAATACAAGCCACATATTCATACAGTGTCATATAAATTGGCCTTGCTCCAAATTTGGATTTCTGCTTTGAGCAGGAAGGGCATAGGTTAATAATTTTTAAGATATTAGCACCTTTTGTTCCAAGATACTTCACTTTTTGAAAAAGAGTGTGTGTGGTTTTTTGTTTACCCTGTAAACTGTACTAAGTGAAACAGGCGCTTTTTATCAGCAGAGGTAATCACAATGACTTAGGAGAGGAAGTAGAGAAGAGGCACGTCTCATTGGAACTGCAAAGGGAATTTAAGTAAGTAAAATGGATAACTTGTGCTGGAATCAGGACATGATGCAGACCTGGAATCAGTCTGGTACTTGCAGGCAACCTGCTGAACTGAATCTGGGACAATTAACACCACAATTTGTTTTATTAGAGTCATAAAATGCCCTATCTGAACTAGTGGTCAGGATTTAGGAGTGGGTTGATATTGAAAAAAATTCATTAATTGATTATGGTGTTTTTCAAACTTTCTGAACTGCCAGCACTGTTGTGTTCACTCAGCATATCTGCAGAGAGAGGCTGTTTGCAGAATGGGTGACTCTTTTAAACTTTCTTCCTCATTAACACATCTTTTATCCAGTGAAGTTCTAAAAATGCCATGTGAGTTCAGCCACACTCTGCGAGTGGCAAATTTGCCACAACTGCCCCACTGATGAGTCCTAGGAAATAGTTTGCAAGGCCTGCCTATGCTAAACTTTGTTCAAAGAAACCAGTGTCAAAATATGAGAAGAAAACCCCACCTAACCTTGCGGAAGGTTAGAGGAAGAATCCAACTAGGGATTTGCACGCCCTTTTTACTCCTGTGGATTTACCTGTCTTGGCCGTTGACTGATGTCCTCTAGAAACATGATGCTTTACCTCCAGCAGCACAGGGAATCAGAATCACTCCAGTTCTACCCTGCCACAGAATCACCCCTACCCAAGGTCACCAACACTCACTGCTTCCCCCTACAGCAGGGTCTTTCACAAAAACACCCCCTGAAAGCCTTGATTTGGCCTCGTTCTCTGCCTGAACTTCACGAGAAGAGCACGAGGCAGTACAGCTGGAGGTGATGTTTGGAAAACGTCATTCGTGAAACGTAAATACTTGTAGGTGATTGCAAAGATAATACGGTCTCATGAAGGAACCTCTTGATATGTCAGTGTTAATACCTGCAACCCTCCATTCCCCCGGTGTTTGTATGCGCAGTACATATTTTGCTTATAGAATACAGAGCAGGGTTGTAATAGAGAATGTCTTCAAGCTACATTTATTTGATCTATTTGTTTTTACATTATTTTTATGCTACTAGTGAATGGGCTGTTTGGGAATCAAAATGCCAAAGCTGAGGTATGAACAGGATCGCTCATCTCCATCCCCCATCATCCGTGATAAAGAAATCAGAGTGGTATTGATTGTGGCAGAAAGGGGAACAGAGTACACTAAGTATGCAAGTCCATGCTAGTCATTTAACACCTTGGAAAAGGTGATATTTTTGCTTTACCTTCCTGGCAGTTTAGAGCTGTGCTGTGTACTGTGGGACAGCATCGTGCCTTTTGGGTAGACACAGGGGAAAATACCTTTCAGTAAACATCATTAACAAGCAGCTTCAGCAAATATTGGTGATTATACATCATTCAAGGTTGAAAAATGGCAAGGGAAAGATGTCTTTCTTTAACCATCACACCACAGGCATTCAGACCTCTCTGCAAAGAAGGATCCTGGCAGGGCTAGTCCCAGGCTGTCAGTTCCTGAACTGTCAGTGTCTCACTGTGTCCCAAGGGCATTTCTCCCTGGTACTGATGACTTTGGCAGGTTTGCTGGCTGTGCCTTTAGCAATTGCAGCCCCAGTGAGAAGCTGCCCCTACAATTGTCCTCACCTGCAGGCACATTAACACCCCAGGGGTACTGAGATGCACATCCCAGGGCTGACTTCTGTTTTGGAGGTAGCTGGTGTGAGTGCTGATGCTCAACTGGCTTCAATGGACCCCCAAAAAAGTGTTATTTCAACCAAGATAAATGTGCAGTCTGCCACTAGCATGCTTTTGGCCAAATTGCTGTCAGGCAGTGTGGCCTGTCTTCCCCCCATGATGACTGTGGCCAGGGCAGTCCCATGTCTCTAAGATCCTGGAACCCAAACACCTCTTCCTCTTTCTGTCATAGCTACTGCTTCCTGCAGTTTCTTGTCTTTTTGTCTTCTGTGCTCCTGGACGAGGTCAGTCAGACTGTAACTCTCTCTGCTGAAGCTGAAGACCCATTACCCCTGTTGTGCAGAGCCTGAGGGATTTGCATTTATCACTGCCCCATGTGTTTAGACCTTACTGAAAGTGCTCCTTACCTTTCTCACCCATTGAGCAAGGGATGTAATAACTTCCAAGCGCTTACCAATACTCGGGATATGAACACTGCCACTTCCAAACAGCCTGTGACACTGCGTCCATCACCTTGCACCTGTCATATCTCAGCCCTGTGGGAGCTCTGCTCAGACCAGCTCCAGGCAGATACACATGGATTATGTATCTCTGCTTTGAAGCAGAAGATTTTATTACTTTCTCAACGGTTATAAAATACACTCTTAGGTCTGCACGTGCTTTATCCTCCTCTCCTTCTGAGAAGTGTGAAAAACAAGGTCTGAGATTTTAGGAGCAAAGATTTTTTTCTTTTTCTTGGTGTAGAGAGGGGGTCAAGGTCAACATGTGAAAAACTTACCTCCAGCTCCTAAAAGAAGCTATGGAGGTGTCACTGACCTGTGACATACAACTACCCAAGGGACAAGCTCATTTGCACAGGAGAGGGTGCGTGTTAATTGATTTGTGCATGTGCAAATGAGCGTGTCCACATGTGGACAGACCAGTAGATACCAAACAGACAAGAAAGGGAAAGCTGAAATACAAATGGACAATGGCATTTCAAAAATGCAAGCCTTTGTTTTTATGGTGCATTTATAACAGGCTATGCAGAAGTACGTACCCCTGTGTGTTAAAGCAAAATGAGATCTGCAGGGAGAAGTAACACCTTTTATCGGACCAGCTGAAAACAGCCTGAAAAAATCATATATATTGGGACACACAAACACTTGCTCAGGCCAGAGCAGAGGTTTATCTTAAGATCTGACAGAAAGCCCATGTATTTGTTAAACTTGTCTGTTTTTCATGACTTTCAGTGGTTGCAGTTGCTGTCAGGCCAAGGGATGCAGCTGTCAGGAACAGCTGGGAGCTGGCAAGGGACTCTGCATCCCCAGGGATCCCTGCATGCTGTGCTCTCCTCTCCTGCTGTGCTACTCACTCCTTCAGCCAGCAGCTCCTTGCCAAGGGTCTCTCTGATACACAGTCTGAAACCAGGGCTGCCTGGAACATCTTTTCCATGGAAAATGTGTATTTGTGTTGTTTAACATGCTCCACAGGAGTATAGCCAGGACATCAATGGACTCCAGCAGACTCCTCAGACTCCATTTGCCTCCCAGAGCTTGGACCTACATTCTGGAGATGCCCAGTTTCCCCACTTTGCCCAGTTTACCAGGATGGAAGTGGTCAAGAAGGGTTGGGAGCCTCGAGGGTTTCACAGAGTTTGTAGCACTTCCTGTGGTTGGACCCACACCAATCTGCTAAGAAAGGTGCATTTGGGGGATCCTGAACTGGAGGATAGAATAGAACAGAATGGAATCATTTAGCTTGAACGAGACCTCTAAGGTCATTGAGTCCAACCATTAACCCAGCTCTTCAAGTCCACCCCTGGACCATGTCCTAAGTGCCACATCTGCACATCTTTTAGATAGCTCCAGGGCTGGTGACTTCACCACCTCTCTGGGACTCCTGTTCCAATGCTTGGCAACCCTTACAGAGAAGATATTTTTCTAATATCCAATCTAAACCTCCCCTGCAGCACCTTGAGGCCATTTCTTCTCATACTCTCCTTTGTTACTTGGGAGAAGAGACTGAAGCCCACCTGTCTACAACCTCCCTTCAGGTAGTTGTAGAGAGCAATAAGGTCCCCCCTGACCCTCCTTTTCTTCAGGCTAAACAAACCCAGCTGCCTCAGTTGCTGCTCATATGACTTACTCTCTAGACATTTCCCCAGCTCCATTGTCCTTCTCTTGTCCAGCACCTCAATGTCTTCGTTGTTGTGAAGTGCCCAAAACAGAACACAGGATTTGAGGTGCAGCCTCAGCAGTGTCACATACAGGGGGATGATCACTGCTCTGGTCCTGCTGGCCACTCTATTGCTGATACAAGACAGGATACTGATCTTGAAGTTAGTGTTTAACTCAGGGGTGTTCACCCTTTGGGGTTTCCTGGTGCACCTCCTGTGATCCGCATAGCCTCAAAATAGGTTTGAAAATGTCAAAATAGGTTTTAAAAGGTCAAAATAAATTGTTTTGACCTTCCAGCTTGTGGGGGAGAAACTGTTACTTCTATTTTGTACCCCATTTTTGTTCCACAGTGGAATGAGAGTATTTTGCGTCTTTGGCTGAAATTTGGGAACGTCTTGTAAATTCACCATTCCTCGACCAGTTCCTTCCACAACCCTTCCTTAATAGCAGCTTTGCAGACTCCTCTGGGCACGTTGCCAAATGGAAGGGACGCTTTCGCAGGAGCACAGGAGAGAGGTTAAGAGAGGCTGTTTGATTCCCTCCTATCTCTATATTTGCACCAACAGAAGCTAAAAAAAGAAGTGCTTCTGTACCTACAGTTGCACTAAATATAACCACCTGGCTGTTTCTAAATATATATATATGTATGCATCTTTAAAAGCGTGACATGCGATACTTGCGAAGAGTTGAGCCTGGAAAATAAATTACAGTGCCAGAGGGCCAGACCTGTCAGTCACTCCCTGCAAGGTAAACCTCTGATTGATTTGGTCCTAGAGAACGGCTGACTTTTCTCTTTATCGTCCTCTGGCATAACAAACAAACCACATTTTCTGGTTTACAAAAAAAAAAAAAAAAAAGGCTCAAAAATAATAACTGATACAATCTGAAAACCTGGGGAGAGCTAAGGATCTAGTGTAGAGATTTTGGTTTGTTTAGGGTTAAAACCTCCAGCCCGCAGCACCAGCAATATCAGTCACTAATAGTAACCTTGCGTAGCTGCATGCATTAAGGTGGTATTGGATGATAAGGCAGAAGAGCGAAGCAATCTGTTGGGCTACAGCTGAAAATAGAGTCACTGCTGCACAGGGAAAAGCTTCATTCCCTCCCTGGCTCCTTCTTCAGAAATGAGAATGCAGGGAGTCATGCCGAGGGAAGGAAAAATCTGATTCCCCACTGCCAAGAGACAGGGTGGCACTTGTGAGAAGGATTTCAAGGTCACGGTGGTGATGCTATCAGTGGTGATGAGGGAGCCCAGCAGACAACAGGTGAAGGCTTCCCGGAGGTGGCGGTGCGCTGCCGAGGGAGATCATCCGATAGCTGTGGCAAGCTGCCTGCTGGGGGGGCACCTTCAGCCCTCGTTTCCCAGGCAGATGCATGGGAATGTGGCCATCAAGGTGACAATGAGGAGGAGTGAGAAGTAAAGGAGCCTTATGTGTCTGTAGATGGGTCTCTGGTCATGCTGCATGAAAGGACTTTACTCGCTTTTTTACACCTTCCCCCTTTGTCCCTGGGTACCTCCCTGTCTGCGTTTGCACGCTGACATACAGGAACCACACCAGCTGGTGTAGAATACATAGTACATGCAACAGCATGGCTCTGAGGTAGGGGCCATCCTCACACCCGGGTGGTCACACCCAAGGATGGGCACAGTCCCCTCTGTGTGGCTGCAGACACCCACCATCACACCCACCAGGCAGTCCTCAAGCATTCCCTTCCCCTTTCACTACCCACTGTCCTGGTAAACCTTCTCCTACTATGGGCAGCTCCTGAGATGTTAGGAGGGCAAAGTCAGCCTGGGAACAAACCCATTTTTCCTTTAATCACATGTATTCAAAGGCAAATAAATGAAATGGTAGGGAATCAGGAGGCTTGGCCAAGGCCAAATGAACTCTGGTGGTGTTTTAAAGGCAGTGAGGTCTTAAAATTGCAGCTCTGTCAGTAAAAGGCAAGGATTTGAAAGCAGGACCCTATATTTCCACTGATACCCTTAGCTCCAATTGTGTTCCACCTACAACTCTAATCTTGGACAAACCACTTACCAGCTCGGCACCTCTGTTTATTCCTCTTCATGTGACAAAGAAAAGTCATGAACCACTTCACAGGCTTGCATTAGAGTTTCATAACTAACATTTATATGGGTCTTGGAGATCCCTACCTGAGAGGTACTGCAAAGGGGACATCTACATCAAAGGTGCAAATATACACAAAACTGGTTCAGCAGTACAAGAACTGGCTTTTGCAGAGGGGCTGATGAACGGAGGGCAGCAGTGTGAGCAAAGGTTGCACAACCCAGTCAGGATTAGTTCCAAGGTGATACTGAGACCTTACTAGAGGGCAATGGAAATTTCACCCTTTTAAGAACTGGTACAAGGCAATCAGGATGTCATAAGCTTAATCTGGACCACCTCTCCTAAATGATCTCTTTTGGGTGGAGAATTAAAAAATGCCACTTAGCATGGCAACAAGCACTCTGACCTACCGCTTTGTTTTTTCACCAGTCTTTTTTGTCCTTGTATGCTCTTGCTCTCCAAACTCCAGAGCTGATCTGGACACTTGAAAGCCTGCAGTCAAGGGTTTCTCTGATTGTGCCAACACTCATCAATCCCACTGGCAGAAATACTTACAGATCCTTGGTGCTCTTTTGTAATTAGGGAACAAGTATATTCTTGCAGATTAAGCACTGGGGAGGTATGTGGGAGATCTGGATTAAATTACCTCTGACAAAACCTTCTTGCAGAAACTTCCAGAATGCTGAATCTTTCTGTAATTGCTTGTACTCCTGAATACCACATTCCTATTCCATATTCAGTGAATTTCCCCTGTGAAACCTATATAAACATTTCTGATAGTACTGGCTACCTGACCTGATCCGTGGCCTGCAATCTTATCTACCTTGTGTGTGTACATATGTATATATATACCTCTTGTCATAACCATAAGACTATGAAGCTATGGGGACCTAAGTAATATCACAATGTAAGGGAGCTAGGACCCATCTTATAGGATATTCTGTTTTGCTGTTTGTTTTTCTTCTAGCGCTTCTCTCCATTTCTCAGTTTTCCATTGCCCCTCGCTGGGAAATTGAGGACTGCCAGGGGTTGACACCCAGGTGTTTTCCTGGCTGCTAATTTATAGCTTTAAATAAAAAGGAAAGTGGAGCTGACTTGTAAGGCCAGGTAGGGCTGACGCTGTTCCAGCAGGGATCAGTGGGAATGAGAAGGTGCTGCTTACCCCACGCTGGCCCTGAGCAATGGCAAATTGAGCAAATAGCTGCCATCACTGCACGCCAAAGCTGCACCCTACAGACCTGAAACACCCTGTCTAGTGAGACGGGTCACAACTCCTCTCATCCAGAGAGCAAAAATGAACCGAAAAAGAATTGCGACCAAGCCAAAGACAGCTGGAAAAATCCTGCTCTTTTGCCTTCTTTTGCCCATTTTCTAGAGTAAGGTACCAAAGGCCGCATCCTGAGTGGGGGGAGCCCAGTGCAACTTCACTGGGACAATAGCACTACACTAGCTGCTGCCACTGCTTGTGTGCATGAGGACTGGGGGGGACAAAAGGCTGTTGCTGGTGTAGGGCCAAGGAGAATCAGAGGAATCATCTAAGAATTAGTGTGGGTGCAGCTGCCTGTTCTTCATTTGGACCAAGAACCCTAGCTGCAATGGACAGGACATAAACACTTAAAATAGTCCCCTGTTGGACACTGAACTGTATCTGTGCATCACCAAATAGAGTTATTACAGCTGCACTACTTTCACTGTTGCCTGCCTCATCCGAAACTTTCCTTGTAGCGTAGGTCAAAAGTCTTTTGACATTGTGGGGCTTTCCAGCCAACACCATTATGGCATTAAACAGTCAGAAACATATTTAAACACTGAAAATGTGGTTTTTTAGCTTCTGAGCTTGGTCAGAGAAAGAAAGACAACACACCACTACTTCAATACAAAAAAAATGTTTCAAACAGAACTTTAAAATCTTTTCTGAAGTCCCTGTTTTAAGAAATGTCACATCATGGCTTTCCAAGTTGGCAAATCATGCAGACTACTCTTTGTAAAAGAATGATAAAAGTGAATCACTTCCCAAGCAGACACACTGCTCAGTGTGTAGGGGTCTGCTGTTGACCATGCCAGGCTGTGGCTTGCACATCATTAGTGACCTGTGAGGCCGGGAGACAGGATCTCCAGCCAGGCTGCACACTGTGTCAGGACCCCTGCCCAAAGAAGGCCTTGTAAGTGGCATGTGACATGGTCCCAGTGCAGGGACTTGGCTTCTCCCCAAGTACAATGATCCCAAGGTGACAGGTACGCCCCAGCACATGGCAGTGGCCCACATGCCACGGTCTGTTTGGCATGGTGAGCAGTAATAAAAAGGCCTTGATCTACATTATTATGGCCTCAAACTGGGCTGTGCTCCCAGCCCTCCTTGCAGCATGCATGCAGAAGGCATTCAGGAAGGACAGACAACTTTAGGATCAGAGCATGAGACAAGAAATAAGGGGAATTGGTTGCCTTTGGGGATCAGCCATAAACTCCTTACGTGAGAGGGAAACATCTCCCTGCTTCAGTCATGCAGAAGAAAACCTTCCCCCTAACACAGACCAGGGCTGTAGAAAATACCCAAGCAAAGCCAGGTCCTGCCATTCTTACTCCTGTACTACCCCTTTCTGCCCTCCAAAAGGGATGTAGTGCTGTAATATAAAATGAGGTCCAGCATTTAATCCAGCTGCACACAAAGAGACATGAAGAATGCTTGTGGCACCCACTGTTTCCCTTACTCCATCATTTCCATTTCTAATTTTGTATCCAGATTTTGTGTTTATCTTTCTTGAAGCCATTCAGTGCATGCTGGGATTTTGATGCCTGGAAGATGTATTAAGTAATGAGCCTCTTAAGTACAGCTGCATCCCCTCAGGTGTCTCCTGGGTCTCCTGTGGGATCAGGCTCTTTCCTACTTTTGTCGCTGGCATAAGGCTGTGCCAGTGGGGTGACTGCCACAAGGATTAAACTAGGGTCAGAATTATCTCAAGATTTTGATTACTGAGGCCAGGCCTTAAGGAAAGTGGTAGAAATATAAAAAGGAGGTTGTACCCAAGCAGCACAGTGGGTATCCTGGGATATCATGGGTCCTGAAGGTGTGCTGCACCTCACTGCCCAGCACTGCACAGATAACCCAAAGCTGAAACTCCAGGAGAGCTGTGCTATCCTATGTTTTTCCTATGTTTTGTTCTATGCAAAACCAACTCAAAAATCTCAAGGTTTTATTCTTCGGCAAGGTTTGGAAGGAAGAGGAGAGAAGCAATGTTATGGGTAACCCAGAGCCTCAGGCTGATGTTGTCAAATCCCAGAGGAAAGGAGCCAGGAAAGGGTAAAAGGGAAGTGGGAGGAGAACTGGGGTTCCAGGAATTGTTAGCTGCACATACAGGAAAAACAAAATTGCCCTCCCTTTCTCAGTAGCAGCAGCAATGGAGATGCTTCGTTGTAAATACTGAGAACATGCATGTCTTCAGTCGTGT